AAGGGCAGGAAAAAAATGTCCTTCATCTCTGAGTCACCAGCCAGGTACCATGCTCACTGCCAAGGACAAATAGTACAAGACCCATCTGTGTTTGCTAAATGAGTAAACAAAACAGACTGCAAACCCCGTAAGACTTACTTTCTAGACAGTAGAATTTGAGCCATCAATGAAAACCACATTAACCTTCTGTTACTCTTTATGTTTTGATCATCTCACTACAGTTCAGGGACAAGACCTATCAAAAACTGATAAATAAGATTATTAAGAAAAATATTGTATTACTACATCTTGTCTCCTTCACTCACTAAAGAAAAGCTGATACTAGCGCTTTGTGAGGCAGAATCAGGGTAATAGGTGTGGAAAAGCACAGCAGGAGAAGCAAAATGGGAACAATGCAGGGAAAAGGGCTGAGATTTAGAAGAGAAGGATGGGATTGGAGGGAAGGAGGGTGGAAAGGAAGAGGAGAACCAGGAGAGTCTGGTGGAAGGACAGTTCTAGGTTGAGAATAGAGAGTGGTGGAGGGAAAAATATTTGGGGGAGGAAGGGAAGCAACCACCTTTGGATGGATAAGGAGGGTGACATAGATGGGAAGGATTTTAAAGATAGTTTCTGTGTGAAACATACCCATACCTGGACACTCTGCTATAGAAGTTTCATGAAGGACAAAATAAAACTGGGAAATGTTTTCATATATTTTTATTTCCCTCTTGGACTTCCTTCTAGAGACTGGGCAATGGGAGAACCTGAACAATGGGACATTACCACTTATGATACAACTTACAACTGTATACAGTTTCCATGTCCCACTCCCACCTTGTATCTCCCAGCTATACAGGAAAACAGAAGAATATGGTTGCCTTTGTTAAAGCTTATTTTTTGAGCTAATTTTTCTAATATATGTACAAAATCATGAAAAGAAATGAAAAGCTGTTTTATAAGGTACATATATCTATATGCCATAAAAATAGATTTATGTGAAATAGAAAGTATTGACAGTCCTATGATTTTATTTTATTTATTTTTTAAAAAATGTATTTTTATTGACTTCAGAGAGGAAGGGAGAGGGAAAGAGAGATAGAACCATCAATGTTAAGAGAGAATCACTGGCTGCTTCCAGTAGGCCCCACACTGGGGGATCAATCACCGCCAGAAACCTCCTCAACTGGGGACAGCCTTCTCTGGAACAGGATACCCTGCACTGCAGTGTACGCGCACTAGGTGTCAAAGAGGGGTTTTGTAAGAGTCTAAGATTCTGTGTGACTTCAGGTCAACAAATTATTTTTGTGGCCTCCACTAAACTTCTCCAGACATCACTGTCCTTGATCCAAATATAGCCATCAAATTTACTTGGGCAAGTATGAATCCCAAAAACACTGAAATGCCAGGAAACTTTTCTCTGTACTGGCCAAGTGGTTTCTAATGAAATCTGTCCGCTTGTATCATGGGCTACCTTAAGCTACCTAGGTAACCTCCTACCTAAATCTTTCATCTACTTCAGAAAACATCTGGCTTCAGTTTTTTTTTATTTTATTTAAATTTTATTGATTTCAGAAAGGAAGGGAGTGAGAGAGAGAGAGAGAGAGAGAGGTAGAAACATCCATGATGAGAGAGAATTATGGATTGGCTGCCTCCTGCACACCCCCTATGGAGGATTGAGCCTGAAACCCCGGGCATGTGCCCCTGACTGGAATCGAACCCAGGACCCTTCAGTCCGCAGACTAATGCTCTATCCACTGAGCCAAACCAGCTAGGCTGGCTTCACTCTTATTGCTATGAATTAATTTACTTAATGCAGTATTAGTAGGGGTTATAGGCTCAGTAGAAGGAGGTAAATAAGATGGGAAACATGTGGCTTAAGTTTAATTTAGTTCACCTAACATTTACTGAGCAATTGTTATATGCCAAGAGATGGGGATGAAATACAAATAGGATGTGTCCTATCCTATAGAGAGGAAAATGATAGAGAAGGGGAGGGTGGGTTGGGGCAGAGAGATTGAGATGGGATGAAGAAAGGGAGAGAGAAGGTGAAGAGATAGGGGGAGAAGAAAGTGAGGCAAAAAAAAAAAAAGTAACAAGACAAGCATACAGAAAGGGAGACATAAGTCAAAGGCAGAGAACTGATGGAGGAAAGAAAGAAAGTGATAAGAGAAAGAGCAAAGAAGAGAAGGAATGGTCAGAAATGATCCAAGAAAAGTCAAGACAAAGATAACATTAGTGATTGGGCTCTAGTTCTACATCTGAAAAGGGTAACTGTTCCATTTTTCTGTGTTTAGTTTCTATGAACAAATTGTGAGTAAACTGTGCTTTTAGAGTTACTAAGTGTGCAGACAGATTTAGAAGGCTTATACATTAAGTTGTAAGCTAACTTAAAAGGATAATACAAGTTTTGATTTTGGAAATATTCTCTGGGGGAAAAACTGCCCCCAAAACTAGATTTGCAGTAAACATGTAATTAAAAAAAAATACACATGAGTGTTTTCTTTTTCATGCAATTTATAAGTGCCTTTTCCTTTCTGGGAAAGAAGTGTCTCCAGTACAAGTTGAGGCAATTCATCATATTCAGAAAAGTTATAGTGGCTACAAGTACTCGTTACAATGCCTCCTTAAGAAAGGGAGGGGTAAAATGGTGATTTAGAGTAGGTAAAATGGTCTGCTGTTTATATCTGGTGCCTTATATTAATCAGTGTTGTATTTTTTTAATTTGATAAAAAAAAAGTTTGACATCTTTTAAATATGTGGTGAGAGTGGAGTGTATCCAGATGTTTGCTGAACTAGAGGACAGGCTGAGCCAAATGTATTGGGGGGGAGCTGGCTTCTAATCCCAGATCTCCTGAGCAGGTGCTATTTGCGGGTCAGTGTCTCTTTTGATAAACTACAGATAGCTTATCCTTGGTCACTCCCTGAGAGAGATGGAGATGGCGGTGCTGGGAACTGCCATCAATCACGCTATTACATGCCCTGAAAACTCTTGAGGGTGAGAGCAAATTGGTGGCCCGAGAACTGTTGTTGCATCTCTTTCAAGGGTGTTACCATATCTGGGGATGAAAATTGTGTGTTTTGCCCAGCTGTGCTCACCACTAAAGCATCCAACAGTAATAGCGATTGCACTGGTGAGATTTGGTGCTGGGGGAATTCTGTGCGCTGGGAGCTGGAGGGAGGCCACCAATTCATTGCACATATATTATTTCTCTAGGAAACACAGCATAATTGAGGACAATTTTCCACCAGGAATTGCATCATTAGCCAACACAGCGAAAGTAAAATGCTGTTAACTTTTCTTTTTCTTCTTCAAAGCTGATGAGCTGAAGAAAATAGAAATAAAAAGTTTAATATAATTTTTTCTCTCTCTCAAGGATGTAAGTTGAAAATCAGAATTAAAACACTTTTTACACAGTAATAGAAATCCCACATTTTAATACATTGCCATGCACATAAGGAATCAAGTAATGCGGATACAAAATAGCCAAATGTACAAAATGATAAAGAGGATTTTCAGGCCTGATAGATATCATGCTCATAGATACAGGGGGGCAAACATCTGTACAGTTTCATTTTTACCAATTTAAAAAGAATCATGCCCCCCCATTGTCTTTACCCCCAAAACTAAAAGGAACATTATAAGAAAATATAAGGAGACCCAAAAGGAATTGGCAAGTTGATAGCTGCTTCCTAGTAAGATATGGAAATTGATGGTTCAAAATTGTGGTGCACAATAATTCTATGTTTAGCGAAAACATTTCTAAACATTGCAAGTCCTGGAAATCCAGGGAACGAAAATGAACATCCAGCAGAAAAGGCACTCTTATTTCACCACCTAGCATGTTTGTGTTCACCGAAGTCCAGCCTGGGTTTTTTTTTTTCAGGGTGCATAGAGGAAAAAAATCACAGTTGTGGGCAATACTTATTTAATTAACTACTCTTAGGGGACTAAGAGAATTCAGACTGCTGGCTTAACTACTAACTTAAGAAAGCTAGAGAAATATCTGCCATTTACGTAGGCTTTGTATTATGAAATGTGCTTGTATAATCCTGTTTGTCAGTGTCTGTAAAAGAGTGAACCAGTTGTGTTTTTTTTTTTTTTTTTAATTTGATCTCCCTGTGGTCTTATCTTCATTTCACATTGTTTGATTTTCTTCTTTCTTTCCTAGAACAACTGCTAGTATACTATAGCTCATCAAGAAGTTATATGGCTCTCTGCTTCTTGTGACCCTCAATTTGTCAATTTCACCCTTGCATTGGTCTTCTTGAACCCTGAGATCAGCAATCTTTTGGCATTAAGCCAAGTCCAAGGCTCGCGCGCGCTCTCTCTCTCTCTCTCTCTCTCTCTCTCTCTCTCTCTCTCTCTCTCCCTTGACTAAGTCATAGTACTCTAACACTTTGGGAAGTGGAGAAGTGGAGATAAATGAATGCCTTGACTGTGGGCTCTGTAGACCAGCCCCCAAATATTGGAAGCATCTGTGGGCAAAATTGACTGTTACTTTCTTATCAAAAAATCCCCAAATGGAGCCATATAATAATAGTTATGAGGAGAAGACAGAAATTAAAGGGGAAGGTTCACTGACAAAAGCCTGTAGTCTGGTCACCATGAGAATGTCAGAGATTCTGGTGGTATAGGACACCTTCTCTTAGCTCATCTTAGCCTGCAAACAATCCTGTCCGCTAAGGAAGGGCAGCTGGCATCCCTACCAGAGAGACAGAAATCCAAGGCGATGGGCTATTTCTATCAAATTCGTGTATTCCTACCCTTTATCAAAGCAGTGCAGTGTCCACAAAGTCCCAAGAATAACTCAAGTATATAAACCACAACAGATCAATATTTTCTTTTCTCAGGTACTTTTGACGGCAAATATGTAATTTTGTAACGATATTGATCTTTTCTAAAATTTCGTGTATAGCTGTTTCATTTAGTGCCTAAAATATTAAATAGTTAGATTAACTGCAGCTACAGTAGTATGATTCAGTGATGCAAGAGTTTCGGTAGAATTAGTTTCAAAACACTTATGCTGGCTTGGCTTCTGTGCCCACCAAGACTGAGACTTACAGGGCCAAGTCACAAACATGGCACTATTCGGCTCTGCAATGTGAGCTCCTTGAACTGGCTCAACTGTGGTCTTTTCAAATATGGCCACATAAGGATAGCATCTTTCTATTGGTGGAGGAAAGGCAGTGGCAGAGATTGTTCAAGTTGCCTACGTATAAGATTGAATAAGTGGGACCCTAACTACCTCCAGTTGGGGCCAACACTCACTGAAAGGGCTATAGCTTCTCTTTCTGATGATTGGAGGTGGGAGGCAAATTACAATGAAAAAAGACAAAAAGTGCCAGTGTTCAAACATGAATACCTCTTCCCCCACATCTATAAAGAGGGGCTTTTTTTTTTCTTTCATCTTTTTATTAAGGTATTATATGTGCACATATCTTACCATTGCCCCTCCACCCCATTCCCATACAAAGAGGGACCTTTTGATGTGAACCTGGTATTGCACTTCAAAATCTCTGCAGCTGGTGTGAAGGGAAACCTATTCTTGGTCTTCTCTTGAATGCCTTATGTGGGAACTAGGCATGGGAATTGTCCAAAGCGTCCACAGAGTGAGCATGTGCTCCCAGTGCAAACTACAAATGCAGTTGATTATGGTTAGAAAAAGGTATTGGAAATACATATAAAGAATGAGAATTAATTTAGGAATCGTATAATCAAGGACCATGACCATACTCAATCCAAATCATATTTTTGGAATGAAGCTTGGAGAGTTTACTTAGAACTTCGGAAGGTGTCTTCATGGCATTTGTGCTATTATAGAGAGAGGTCAGGCTAACCTCTGGGGAGATAGAAGATCACCATCTGTGTGTGGATAGGATAGGAGCAACCAGAAGACGCTCAAGGTATTTAATAACAAACTCCCCCCTACCCCTTTAAAGTTATATTACAAAATCAGTTCCCTCATCCAAAGAAGTAATGATCCCATAAGAATCTCTCATTTTGCAATTTTTAAATATGTTTTTTTAAATTGATTTTTAGAGAGAGAGGAAGGGAAAAGGATAGATAGAAACACTGATTGGCTGCCTACTGCATACCTCCTATCAGGGATCGAGCCCACAACCCAGGTATGTGCCCTGACTGGGAATCCAGTCAGTGACTTCTTGGTTCATGGGTCAACACTCAACCATTGAGTTACACAGGCTGGGCTCATTTTGCGATTTTTTAAAGGGTAAAGCATTTGAATACATTTTTATAGAATTTGTGTGGTGGTGGTGGTGGTAATTAAATACAGGTCACAAAACAGATCCGTGTGCTCATGAACATCAACCCAGCTTAGAGTTCCACATGTGGTAGCTGTGTGTGTGCTAATGTGGCAAAGCCACAGGAAAGCAGCCCTTTTTATTCCCTTTGATCCAAATAATTTAAATTAGAAGGCTAGAAACAATGCAAGAGGTGACAAGCAGACTCCCCAATGTCTTAAATGTTTAAGGTATAGATCACCAACTTTGGACTGTAGTTCAACCATCTCCTCGTCATTCCTGTTTCTCTCACTCTGTACTTCAGGCAAAAAGGCCTGCGTTGGAGAGCCCTCCTAAGGCTCTGTAAATGTTTAAAGTTTGGAACACAACAACAAAACAAGCAATTAACCAAATGAAATGCCTGAACCACTGGCTCCAGTAAAAAGAATATTGTGTAATCAGAAATAATGTCTAACTACCCAAAACACTTAATATTATGTCAACCAGTCAACTGCAATTCAATGCAAATCATATGGTCCCTCTGAAATTTTATTATTAGATGTATGTTCCTGATCACTTCTGGTGCTTGATGGAACTGGAGGAAGGAAGCTCTGAAGTAAGAATGCTTGGAGAGCGTCAAGATTTTAAAGTTGCCCTACAAGGCGAATGAAACTCCAGATTTACAGAGGCGTCATTCCCCAGTCTTTGTGCTGTTGGGCAGAGGGTCTAAAACTGGCCCAATACTCAATGACACTTCCCCTTTACAATTATTGCAGGTGAATTTCACCCTAAAATTTCAGATCTCAGAAATAGTGCTTGTCCCTAGCCCAGCTCTTCCTCTGAGGAGCTAAGTTGATGGCCTGAAGAAAACCAGCATGGAGACCATCCCTCTAGCCACCTTCCCAAATGAGAATCTGCAAAGAAGTATCTAGTTTGCTCTTTCTGTGGCAGAACCTCCCTGTGTACTTGGTCAGCTTTCTAAAGCATGCTTCCTGTCTCTGCACTAGAGTAGTCACCAGAGCAACATAATGGAAATGTGATTCTCTTTGATCTTAAAGTTAAACAGTGGTACCGGAAATCATACACATTGATAAAGCAGAATTCCTAAGATAGTTTTCTGGCTAGAGGGTTAGATGCAGATCTAAGGAGACTAAGGGGTAGTGCTTGTCTTTGAAATAGTCCTATCCCCCCAACATCCCCCCTTCCCTTCCCTTCCCTTTTCCCCAACACATACACTTGTCCCCTAAGCCAATGTAGCTTTTGGTCTGTCCTCTTTCATGATCTCATGGCTTCTTTTTTTCTTTAGCGATTTATTTTTTTTTTTATTTATTTATTTATTTATTTATTTATTTATTTATTTATTTTTAATGAGAGTGGAAGGGAGAGGGAGAGAGAGAGAGAAACATCAATATGGGAGTGAAACATTGATCATCTGTCTCCTGTACATCCTCTACCAGGGATCATGCCTGAAATTGGGGCATGTGCCCTGACTGGGAATCCAACCAGCAATCTCTTGGTGCATGGAATGATGCCCAAACAATTGAGCAACACTGGCCAGGGAGGGTCTCTTTTTAATTAGTAGCAATGACCAGCCATCCCTCGAAGATGAGAAGCTATGTCCTGCTGGTGTTTGGGCAGCAAGATTTCACCAAGATCAAGCTTACGAAGGAATTACTAGTCCGTACTGGGCCAGGGAGGGGGCATGTGGAGGGATGCCTATGTTTTTCTGTTTGAGTTCCTTATAGAATACCCACAGAACAATGTCAAAAATAGAAATTAAAACAGAATCACAAAACAAAGCAAAAAAGTGGGGTGGAGGGGGCTGTGGGAAAGGTGGATAAAAACAAAAGAGACTATTGCAGCTTTAAGTCTAGGTGTCAGGTAACAAAATTGCCCTAAAGAATGTAGAGAAAAACACCTCAAAGAATGGAGCTACTAATGCTCTGGGAAGAGGAGGTTTTGGTGAAACTAAAGTACGGGGGGGTGAGGAGGGGGTCTCAAAAATCTTTCTTCCTCGAAACTTCTAGTGTTCCTACCCAAAATCAATTGGGTGACGTTTGCAGACAAATAGAGCATTGGCAAGTAATGAGGGGGTAAACCCATCTGAGTTTATCCTGAGTTTATGTTCTCATCTCATATTCCTTTTCCCCATGAATGTTAAAAATAGCAGAATTCGCTCAGAACTAAGGTCTCCTGGCCTTTGTGTGAGCAACTTGGAAGTGATTCTGCAGAGACCTGTGTGCTGTTTACCCATATTTCGGAGGTAGCATTAGGTGTGTGGTAACACACTGCACAGAGCCTGAGCAGGATTTGAAGATGAGAAGATGCATCGTTACCCACAAAGAAAGCTCTTGGGGTCTCTACCCTGCTAGGTCTGTCGTAAATTACCAAAGCGATTGCTTTTTAGATGGATGTTCTGCATATTTAAATTCAGTTCTGGAGTTGGAAAAAGTTAATCCCCGTGGCACCCAGGGGAGTCTTGTAATTATTAATTTCTGTTCATTCCAGTGCTTTTCGTAGACACTGTGGGTGTCAGCCTTTTCATAAAAGGGGTAGCATACGTTTAAGGAGAAGTTAGACGTCAATAGTTCACAATTCTTGGAGCTTTGGGACAACAACATATTTTTCCACACCTCCCTGTCTCCTGCTCCCTACTTAACAAAACTCACCCCAGCCATTTCTGACCTGGAGGTCGAATTCCCCATATGCAACTTAGGAAAAAGGTACAGCACAGCAGAAAGGAACCCTGGGAAACTGCCTCGACACGTAATAAAGAATCCCAGGCCCTAGGAATGGCATCATTGCTCCATTTTGCTGGCTCAGCTGGTGACAGCTCAGATTTGATACTCCCATGTTTTCAAAAGCATCCCCAGAAGTGATTTAAAACAGAGGTGGACAGTTTGATAAACAGTTATAGTTCATCTGCAAATATGTGGTACTTGCCAGGAATTAAGGCATTTTTAGAGAAGCCATCTTCAATTGGGCTCTTTCATTGTTTTCTTCTTCTTAGTCTTTCCCAGCTCCAACTTCACCCACCACCATTTTTCCAGTACTCTTTTAACTAAAGAAAAGCTAGGAAACTCAACTTATTTAATTGTCCAGAACATATTTAGAAAAGCCAGAGTAAGTAAGGATGAAGATGAACCACCATCTTCATGAACATCTGCACTATCAAGCATGTCCAGCTTTCCTCCTCTGCCCCCTTTTGCAGGCATTTTCCTAGCTTCCTCTGGCAGGGGGTGAATGCTGTCCCAATGCTGTTGTCACTATGAGAAAGATAGGGTGGGGACAGTGTTTGGGAGAGGGAGCTCTTTCTAACGTTGGAAAGACTCTGCCTTGTACACTGTTGCTGCCTCAGCACAATGTTTGGCACATAGTAGGTGCTTAGCAAATGCTTGCTGAATAAAGGGAGGAATGACAGAAGGAGGAAACCCTGCTCTTGGACTTGAAACTGAGGAGATGGGCAGTGGAGATTGTCATGCTATGTCCGGACGAGTTGGCAGCAGGGTTTGTAAAGAATTGTGGTCTGTGAGGGGCCTGACAGTCATGTTGCTAACATGTTGAAGAGTCAGATCTTGGGGGTATCTGTCCTCTGAGTTCCTTCTTGGAAGTACTCTTCTTTGGCACCACAACCTGACAGGTGAGTCACCCTTTTGGGTGATTCACCCCAATCACCTTTGCAACTCTCTGCCCTTCCCTGTCAGGTTTCCAAATCTCAGGGTAAGCCCCTTTTCCCAGTGGGCTTTGTTTTCCTGAGACCCCCAGGGGAAACAAAATGTGGGAAAGTGTGTCTGGTGACTCTCTAAAAGGCAAAGCTTGCTTGTGCTGGAAGGGTCCCAGAGTTGTTACATGTATTTTATAGAAAGTTATTCCATGTCTGTCGGTCCCAGGCTGAGGCCATGGGCACACAGAACATGCTTTGCTTAGTTTTTTATTTAGCCACATTTATATTTTCAGGGGGAAAAATGCTAAAGCATTCTGTAGGGTCAATTAATTGGATAATTTTCTAATGCTTAAAGATAAGCAATAACTGGATTGACCTTTTCCCCAGGACTGTGCTTTGTTGTAAGACAGTAAAAACAACAACAACTAATTGTGGGTATAAACCCAGAAAGAATTAACAGGAACTAGCAGGTTCTCTATTGAGGAGGAAACCTTGTGTGATATTGGACCTTTTTCCTTCTTTAGGCACTCAGAAGTCCCTTGCTGGTTGTTCTTCCCAGAGAGCTATGATTTGAACTTGACCTAGAAAGTCTTCCATGGTTTTGAAGTCAGACCACTGGCAAACTGCATTCTGCTACCCTTAACACCAGCCCAGCATGGTCTTCGATTAAAAGAAGGCCCATTTCCCTGCTTTTGATTTGAAAGAACTCTCCCATAGACTGAGAGAGCATGCACACTGGCCAAGAAGAAGCCTCCTGTGTTTCAGTGGTTGTATGTGCAAGCAGTTAAGTTGTGCCTCAGTGCAAGGAACCAGGAGCTAAGGTATTACAATCAGCCCACTTTTACCTCTTTGTGGGATCAGTTGTTCAGGAAAGGGTCAAGAGGTTAAGTCTAACAGTATCGTGGCCATATTTACACCGATCTACCATAAACAACTGGGGATATGCTAGGAGTGGACTTTGTCTTGGACAGTCTGCGCCAGAAATAAGATTTATAAAGGAAAAGAAAACACTTGTTTTCCTCATAGGTACTGAACGTGCTGATTCGTATCTCCGATGAAGTGCTTAAGAGTCAGACAGACTACTTCTAGATGTCAAAACTAACAACGATAAAGACATGTGGACATTCCTAACAGGACATACTATGGTAAACACCTCCACCGAGATTGCAAAACTGCTGTATCTGTTGTCTAACACATCATGCCATCTGTGCACACAGTAAGAGAATCCAGTGGTTGCCATGCGGAAACAGGACTTCCAGGAAGGGGTACAGACAGCTCCCCGAAGGGTGCCGGAGGATGCACAGTGATAAAAAACTGGAAGCGATTTTCCAGTCAATCGTCTGCCGATGACCGCTTGCACTGCATATTCTGCACCTCTTTTTCAAATCCACGGCAAGCTAAGATTTCCCAAAGCCCATCCACTTGACTGAGTGGGTGCTTCCCCCTAGTTAGTCCGGTTCATCTGTCAATGCTCCAAGGGGATCGTCTGGCAGGGCCATGAGTTAGTCTTTCTGGGAGGAGCAGGTCATGTTCGTATCCACTGGCAGGACAGTAGCTTGGAAGGCTCACCATGTTTATGGAGAACCCTCGAGTGAGGCTGCAGGAAGAAACAGGGGGAGACACAATAATTTATTACTTTATGTTCCCAGGTTCTGGTAGGAAGCAGCAGTCATACTATTGCAACAAGCCCTAACATCCTTAGGTGAAAGAGAAAGTTCTGGTGAAGATACTGGTCACTCAACTCCAGGACAATGAAGGGCGGCTTGGATTCCTGAAATGTCCTTCTACCATTGGTGGAGCATGGAAGACATCCATCACAGGAATAGGCCAGGTGGCATGTGTTCACCTGAAAATAAAAGACCCTCCCACAGGAGAGGCAACCAGCATTTATTTGTGATGAAAAGAAAAAGCATAGCCATTTAGGTAAGCACTGATTCAGGCAGAAGCCCAAATAGTGTTCCAACGAGTAGACTATGGCAGTAGGTATTTATGAGAAAGGGAAGGGAGACAATTAAATTAATAGAAGGAAGGCATTTCTATTGATGCCAATAAGCTCATAGGATGATGCTGATTCCAAACAAGGATTTTAATTTTCAGTCCTGTAGCCATCAGGGAGTAGTCATCATCTCTGTTTCTTGTTAATGTTGCAAACAGTTCTTTGGGGCATGATGTTGCATTAGGCCCAGTCCAGAGTCTGTTTTGAATTTTAAGATTCCAAGGTTTGAAGCCTAAAATGTGCGAGGTATCTCCTCAGGCACGACAGCTTAGCTCTATTTTAAAGTGGCTCTGTTCAATCTTATTTTTTAACACCTGGAAGCAAGGGCAAAACCAGACCTCTGGGATTGGCATTCAGCCCTGGTGGATTTGTGGTTTGGGAATTTTTTTCTTACATGATAAGGAACAAGTGTGAAGGCAGATTTTTTTTTTTTTTTTGCGGGGGGGAAGTTGGGAGGAGGTGTTGGGAGAAGGGGTTTATCCATCAAGAAGCTTTCCTGGGCTGAAACCTAGAAGGAAATATTGAGGCAGTGTGGCTGGAGCTCCTGAGTTTGCTTCTTAAAAAGTCAGGCTGGCTGAGCAGGTTAGAGACCAGACAGAGAAAGTCATCATCAACATCTGGTCAGAGACTGGGCTGCTTGAATTGCTTTTGGCCTTGGGAATGCTGGTGCAGATCTTGATATTCTAATTTTTTTATTTTTAAAAAATTTCTATTACTTTTATCTGGGTTCTCCCTACATTTCCTGTACACAGATCCTCGTTTAGTAGTTAATATAGACATGCGATATAATGTTTTTCTCAGAAAACTATCAATGTTAGCTTTGTTTAATACACACAATTATTGTGCAGTGGGAGTGGATGGCAAGGGTTCTTGAGGTTAAAAGCAAATCTACTCTGTTTTCAAAACGGCTTTTCAAACAGGAGAGCATGCACAATGTATAAGCACATGTTTGATTAAAGCTCGCTATTTTGGAGAAAAAGCAAAAACAAAAGGAAGGTACTATTAAGCATACTAAATATAAAATAATAATACACACTACCGATAGCCTGTAATGAAAGTGGAATACTAATATACTGCTGGTGGCATTGTAAACGGAAGAAACAGCACCAATTTATTTAGAAACCATTAAAAATTCACATTCCTTGATGAAGTGATCCCATTCTAGGAGTATATCCTAAGGAAATAATAACAAAAAATGAAAGAAGCTGTATACACAAATACGTAACCTAGAGGTTTTGTATAATAGTGAAAAACTGGAAACAACCAGTCTCCTCAATGATGATGTGTTAACAAGATGGATGATTGCATGGGCACTAAAGTAATAATTATGATGATTATGGAACAACATAGTAAACAGTTATGATATACTACAATATAAAGCTTACACATATGCATAGCAAAGCACTGTAAGTGAAATAATGAAAATACTAGAATTTTTATTATTCTCATCACAATATTTTGCAAATCAACCACAAAAATTAAGGCTCTCAAGGGTGCAGATTTGACCAGTGAGCATTGACTGACTATAGCATCCAAGGTTGTGTTCCCTCACTAATAGTACCTTGAAAATAAATACTTCACAAGTGCATTAAGAGATAATATTCTAATACTACTGAAGGGGGGTTAGAAAACACATGAGTAGAAGTCTTCCATGCAAGGAGAGCTGCAGGGGAGCAGTACATGGAACAGGAAAGATTTTTAGGAACCAGACACAGTCCAGCCTTCTTAAGACCTTTGCTCAAGTCAGCTCTGGATAATGAGCAACTCTGGAAAAGTAGGGTTAAGAATAAGCTGTAAAATAAAACTTAAAAATGAATAATGATGATAGAGAGTGAATGCTACTTAACTACTATGCATCCCAAGTCAGGGTCAGCTAACAGTTATCGCAGTCGCTGCTTCTCCAAATAACCCCGTTTTCCACGTGAGCCTCTGATAGCTGATGACCAGTGAATGTATCTCACGTTAGCAATCACACTGAGAGCCATGAACACGGGCTGAGCCCATTGCATTTTAAGGCTCTTCCATCTGTGGTTCCTCAATATGCTCCCTTTACATCTCTGTGTGATGGGCCAACATTAGTCACTTAGGCTTCTGGGAACCCAACTCCTCTGCAGTCTCATGGCCTGGACATCTGGATGGGTAGGGAAACGTTAGAGTCCAGTGACTAAGAGCTTTGGAATCAGGAGGATCTGGGTTGACATCCTAAGCTCATCACTCCCTAGTTATATAATGTTGAAACATGAATTTCTCAGTGTCTTCACTTTAAAATGGTGATCATAATCACTACCTCACTGGGCTGCTGTGGTGGTAGAAAAAGCACTTTGCGTGGTTTTTGGTGAATACTATCAGTTAAGTGATGGCTACTATTTATCATCATCATCATCATCATCATCATCATCATTATTACAAATTCCCAAGGTTTCCCAGAGAAACCAGAAACACAAACAGGGCAGTGTTCTAATGCCAAAGCTGGGAGCCAGGACAAAGACACGATGTGCCTGGAGGTCAAGACTTTACGGCCTCCAAGAGATAACACCCCGCCTGCCAAGGCATAGTCAACACTCTGGCTTCCACTCTCCCCCAGATGAGCGCAGACTTAAACAGACAGTTCCTTGAGATGGAGGGTTCACATCAAAGGCAGGAAGAGGCTGGCCTGGGAGGCAATGCTGGCCTTGCAGGGCGGTCAAGAACAGCTCTGGGACCGACTGTGTCCACTCTGCTTTTCCCCACTCCAGCTGCAGGGGCTGAAGGGATCGGCGTTTCTGGGGAAGAAGCACAGCTACTGTGTGCAGGAGGCCTCGCCTCTCATGGGCTGAAGGGAAGAAATAAGCCTTCACCTCTAGAAAAGGCGGTGTGGTATCTCCCATTCAAAAAGAAGAGCCATATCTTCTATCTGTGTATTTTATGTGACTCAGGCTTGAGGAATTTGGGGTGGGCCTGAATTGCACTTCGATGTGGGACTATTTATATAAGGCGTGAGGTGCACATTCCAAAGGAGTGACACACACAGTGGCCCCCATATAAGAGTCAATAATGAGCAGAACTAACATTTATTGAGCAGCTACAATGGGCCAACTACAGTTTTATAGGTTGCCACTCATTGACTCCTCACTCCTCATCTTTGAGCTCTAAATTGCAATATCCTCATAACACACCTAGAAAAAAACTGAGATCAAGTTCATTAACTTGTCACAGCCATACTGCCAGATTGCATAGAGTGGAGACTAGTAACCAGATCCGTTCTCACCACAGTGCTTTCCACAGGCTCGATAAGAAATGTGTTGGGAAAGAAAATTCCTTTGTTCCAATGAGAACATAGGAAAGAAAGCAAGTAGTTATGTTTGTATAGCTAGAAGAATGCTCATCAAATGTGAATCCTATACATAAAGTACCATACATAAGACGTGTGACCTAGAGAAAGTAGGTCTTACTTAACAGTCTAAAATATTTCCTGTTGTTTAGAGCAGTGGTTCTCAACTGAGTGCAGTTTTGCCCACAGGGGACATCTGGCAATGCCTGAGACATTTTTGGTTGTCACAGCTTTGGGTGGGTACTACTGGCATTTAATGGGGTATAAGCCATGGACCCTGATAAAATATCCTAGAATGCATAGGACAGCCCCCTACTTAGAAGAATTATCAGGCTCAAAATGGCAATAGTGTGAGGTTGGTTTAGAGGATTCAGGCCCTTGTGTATCTTTTGTCCCTGGTTGTGAGCCAAATATATCACTCCTAAAATAGGCCAAGATAAAAACCAACATAAGTATGCCTCTTGTGCGTACAGGAAATATGGCTAATTTCAAACCTTACTCCCCTCTTCTATTCATCATTTGCTCATTTTATTTGATTTTATATTCAATGTAATCAAAACCTCTAATATTAAATCATTTTCTAACTCTTAGAATCCTCACAGGCAAGCTATTATAAGGATCAAGATTGGGTGATTTAAACAGGTATGCTCAATTAATTAATTAGTATGTATGGGAGAAGTTAGGAGATAAAAGAAGGACAAAGGAAGATTGATGTGGCAATAAAACTAAACTCTGCTATACCAGCCTTTTGGTGGGAGGAGTGGCACACATTCTCAGTTGTACTGGTTTCATTTCTGCCACTGCCTGCCCCCCAACAAGTGGAGGGATGTTTGTCTCTGAGAGTATGATTAAGAAGTCAACCTTACCCCTGACTGCATGAAGACTGAGGTCAGAATCTCAGACCCTATGGGTATCAGGATGTCAGTGGGCTTAGGGGAATAAAAAAGGTGATACATACAAACTGGGATCTTTCCTAACACTGTGAGGGTTAAGCCTGCAACCTGGTCATGTGTCCTGACTAGGAATCAAACCATGACCTCTTGGTTCATAAGTTGCTACTCAACCACTGAGCCATGCCAGCTGGGATGTGAAAAAGTATTCTGAGTGTGTCTATAAGGGTGTTCCTGGGTGAGATTGACATTTGAATCAGTAGACTGAGTAGAGCAGATTGTCTTTGTTAATGTGGGTGGCCTCACTCAATTAATCCACAGAAGGCCTGGGTAGAACAAAAGACAGAGTGAAAGAGAATTGACTCTCTCTGCCTGTATTTCAGTTGGGACATCAGTATTCT